CTACTTGCAATATTGCATGCTTTCAAACTTCTGGGTGGGCAGGAGCCAGGGAATGAAGAATGGGAGCTCACTTCATCTTTTGGAGCCAGACTCGAACCACTGAAGTACAGACCATTTCTGGCCAGCAGTTCCAGCATTATTAAGCCACTGCACTATCACATCCCCTTCTTAAGAGATAAATTACTTTTAGTAGAAAATAGTTTAGTTGCTGAACTTTAGTTTACTGCAATAAATGTCATTAAGAAGGCTTTGTGAGATTCCTGCCTGGAATTATTTTGTTCATAGGACAAACTCTAGACCAGCGGTTCTCAACCTATGGGTCGCGACCCCATTTGGGGTGAATCGACCATTTTACGGGGGTCGCCAAACAATGCGATCTGCCATCCTCCCTCAGGGGGCGTCGCCGCGCATGCGTGCCAGCGCCCCATGCGGGCCGCGCATGCGTGCCGGCGCCCATGCGGGCCGTGCATGCGTGTCGCCCCCCATGCGCACCGTGCATGTGTGCCAGCGCCCCCATGCGCGGTGCGCATGCGCGGCGCGCCCCCATGCATGGCGCGCATGCGTGGTGGCGCCTCCTGAGGGGGGGAATGGCGGATCGCATTGTTTGGCGACCCCCGTAAAATGGTCGATCGACCCCAAATGGGGTCGCGACCCATAGGTTGAGAACCGCTGGTCTAGAGTTTGTCCTGTGAACATCAAGGTAAAAAGAAAACCAAGTTTTATTTTACTGAAAAACTTTCAGGAGATGAACTTGTTTTTAGGCAAGATCTTAGCAAATATGAACTGTGGTCTTGTGTTAAGGCAATCCCTTAGTTCTGTTAGACTACTGGAAATTACCTTCTTAATAACAATAGGACAGAAGACGTCAGATTCTAATGAAAGCTTTAAGATAAGACTTGTTCTCTATCCTGAGTAACCCAGCTTGAATTCACTTTTGCTGTTAAGGCAATGCCTATTTGACAGTAACATATGGTTGGGTTTTATTTTCATATTTTTGTGGGTGTGGGTGACTAACAAAATAGCTCTAGTGTCTTTCTACAAAGCAACCTAGATGTAATGTAAAAGTGTATGCTATATATATCTTTTCTTTAGACATATTGAATTACTATTTCAGATGTTCCTCAATGACTAGCTCTTTTAAATCAGGATTTTGAAGAAAGTGGCTTGTTTTAATAATGTTCTATTGTTGCTTAAAGGTGAGTCCACTCTCACAGAGCCTAAGGGCAGACTTGTATATTCTCTTTCTTACTTGTATCTTTGCATTCAGGTTAGTCAAGATCATTCAGATATTTCATCTCTTTAATTAATATTGGAATGCTAAAATATTATAACCGATCATTACATTTACATAATGCATATATTCAACTCTTTATTGGATATAACATCAGATGTGAAATATAGTTATTGTTAGTCTTCTTAGATTATGCGTTTCAGAATTTAGTGGAATGTATTTTATTAACTCTGCAAGAGCACTAAACGTGCTTTAATTCTACTTAATTGTAATTAAAAGAAAAAACTCACACTAACAGAAATATGATTATTAATAAACATTCTTATTTATTACATTGTACATCTTTATGCATATGTGTTCTATGCATACACTCTATCACGTGTCTATTCCTGGATAAATAACATAAAAAATCAGGAAAAGAGAAAGGAAGGGAGGAGGGAGGTAATAGGGAGGGACTGCATGATTGATGTCAACCCTTTAAGTAGTCTGTACAAGAAGCACTGACCCTGGGTTCTAACACTATCTTTATTGTAAGGTCTCACAAATCTGAAAGTAGATCTCTCCCCTCTCACCTTACTGTTCAAGAAATTAGGGAGGGTCCCTTCTGAGAGGTTTGCCATGCCCCCCATTTCTTCTGTCAATTAAACTGCCTCTTATCTAACTTTTGCTTAATCTGCAATTCTTCTTCCTCCTCCTGCTTCTCAAGAATATTACCATAGATTATTACAGGAAAGAAGGAAATGAGATAAACAAACAAACATCATTTACTACATCTGTCCTTGTTTTACCTAGCCATGCTTTGCCTCATACACTAATGTACACTGATACATTATCTTCTGCTCTTATATTCCCACTTTCTGAGAATTTAGAGTCCTCAGGAAGGATACATACCAACTTGTACAGCAAATGCATGCTGTAAATATAAATATAATGCACTGTAATGCACACAGTAAAGTACAATGTGCTCTTCTAATTCAGTAGTTGCCTCTGTACAAATACAGTATCACTCTGCATAGGGGAAGTTATTAAATGTTCCCTGCATCAGCATCAAGAGTAGGGCTTTCTACTGAATGCTCTTTTGTGTGTGTTGAAGTAATACTATAAAGGTACTGAGGAGTTTCAAAAGGACTCTGAAAGAGGTTCTTGAAATAGTAGGAGGGAATTTTAGCTGTCTCATACTGTATATCCAGACCAAGTTCTATGTTTAACATTTGGCATAGCTCTGTCAAGGCAAGCAATATTAAAAACGGGGCAGAGAAGTCAAAAAAAGGTCTTCAACAATGGTTTTTTTCCCAAGATGAAATAAACTTACCAGTGAAAGTGAGCTGAGCCAGTAATTTACCAAGAAGCTATCTCAGCAAAAATTTCATGATGAGCAGCTATGAGGGCAACTGTAGTTCCAGCTGAAGGTGGATTTGGGATAGAGTAAGTAACTTGAAATAAAATTCTAATGACTTTTGACTGAATGGCTTCCAGTGCAATGAATCAATAATGTTCTATAGAAAATACCTAAATTAAAAAAAATCAGCACATAAAGACCTTAATGGCAGAGAACCATATTCAAGAATATAACAATGAAAATATGTTAAAATAATATAATACTATAATAAAACATTTCATCTAGCCAGGATTCAATTTCAGTTTATTGGCCTTTATCTATTTCATTGTTGAGTATTTGCTCATATAGATAAATACAGATTAAAATCACTACGTTGTTGACATCTCATTCCAAATCCCACAGACATGTCAAAGAAACATACAAAGTAAGGTGGCAATTTACAGCATAAGTATAATGAATTTGCTTTGTTTGAAACTAATCTAAGTAAAGATTGGAACAATAGAACTAGATCTCCTGCTTCCATAATAACACCCAGTCAAACATCAGAATAATTTTATCTTCATCTTTCTCCAAGAATAAATAATTTATTTAGATGACCAACACTGAAATGAAATCAGTCCATTTTATGCAAAATTCCCGGCAAATCAAGTACTGCTGCTACCTTTGTAACAATATGACATTTTACAAAATAATTGTTTTATTCTTTTGGTAAAAAGAGCAAAACAACTTTTTCTTTCAAGA